GACACAGACCCGATTGCACACGGACCCGATTGCGCACCGACCCGATTGCGCACAGATCCGATTGGACACGGACCCGATCGGACCCGATTTTGCGCACGGACTCGTTTTGCACACTGATCCAATTGCGCACGGACCCGTTTGCACACCGACCCGATTGCCGACGGACCCATTTGCACACCGACCCGATTGCGCCCGGACCCGATTGCGCACGGACCCAATTACGCACGGACCCGTTTGCACACGAACAGTGGGGTGTCAGCGTAGACAGTGTCCGCTTGGAATATTTTTCCAAAAAAATCTAACCCTAAGCAAACCATTTGTTGGTGTGAGGTAGCCCTCATTTTGCGTGGGAGGCTTGTGAGCTGTAGGTAATAATATATGTAGGCAATCGAGCTGTAGGCAATAACACATGTCGGGTCCGTGTGCAAACGGATCTGTGCGCAATCGGGTCGGTGCGCAATCGGGTCCGTGTGCAATCCGGTCGGTGTGCAAACGGGTCCGTGTGCAATCGGTCCGTGTGCAATCGGTCGGTGTGCAAACGGGTCCGTGCGCAATCGGGTCCGTGCGCAAACGGACCCGTGGGCAATCGGATCGTGCGCAATCGAGTCTGTATGCAAACGGGTCCATGCGCAATCGGGTCCGTGTCCGATCGGGTCCGTGTCCGATCGGGTCTGTGTCCGATCGGGAAATCCTTTCGTGTCCGATTGTTAATGTGCGCAATCGGGACGCTCCCTACTCAACACAAATATCATTTTATCTTTATCGTTCGTTGAATGTCAAAAAGGATAAACAATAAGTTAAATTTAATAAGTCAAATCAAAAAGATAAACAATGTCAAAAGAAAACATACTATGTAACATTGTTTGTGATAATTGAAGTCGTTTGAATAACATTGTTGGCTACGATATATTTTCGAAAGATAGTCACAGTCATTATTTCGCATCTTTAGAATTAATTAATGTTTATAGATAATATTCATAAATAATTATAATTATAATAAGTATCATAAATTGATAGCAATAAAGTATATATTCAGATTATATACGTCATGTAATATATGTATTGCAGCATTCCAGTGGAACCATAATGCTATATTAGGTTTATTAACTGTATATCATAATATATACAGCCTGATAAAGAAAATGTTAGAAAACACAAACACTTCTGGCAGAATCTTGTGAAAGATTTACAAACATTAGGATATGAGATATGTATAATTACTTTTTATCAGTTAATGAATCTGAAATCCTCGATACGGTATAAAATTTAACTAATGAATATTATTTCAGATGACTGCTGATCAAACCAGATGGAAATTTAATGCACTGTTAAAGAAATATAAAGAATGTGTCGACAACAATTCTACATCAGGAAGAAGTCCAATGACATTTGATTATTTTAATGAAATGCAAGAAATTTTTGGACATCGGAAAAATGTTAATTGCAACCACATAATCGGTTCTTCATTTTTTGTGAGCAAAAGACAATCATCTTCATTTGTCGAATCTGATAAGCAAATATCGACAGCAACAAAAACAAAACAAGCGATATCATCTACATCTGAATCATTACCAATAAAATTTTCAAGAATTGAATGTCAGCAAGAGTTATTAAATATGACACCTTCTGCAGCATCTTCTGAAACATCTGAAATAGCTTCTGAAACACCACTTTCTATAATATCACTTTCTAAAGAAAGAAAAAAAATCGACCTGCATCTGCAACATATGTTGCCAAGACTAAACTGGAACTAGAGTCCTAGATTTATCAGAGAGGCGCAACCAGTGTTATGCATTCTGATTCGCTGTTGCAATCTGATCAATTGCGTGACTTGGCAGCCATTGATAGTACTAGTGACATATTTCTATTTCATTTTATCCTATACATTCTACCTCACATTATCCTACACGTCTTATCTTGTTTGACATAGTTTAAAGGCAGTTTCATAGCATGTCGGCCATGTTTAGTACTCTCCTTAGCACTTTGTCATACTGACTTAAACCGGTTGCGCCTCTCTGATAAATCTAGGACTCTAGGTTAGGGTTAGGTTAGGTAACCTCTTTAAGAGGTAAGAGTAAAAAATTGACCAATCGCAGTCGATTATTCTTTTCACAATCGGCTGTGATTGATCAATTTCTTACTCTTACTTTTTAAACCAAGCTTACTTCGCGTATTGTAAACACCTTAGGCTAGAGTCCCGTGAGGGGATCGATTCTGGGGGCTTATTACGGTTCTCGGATTGGATAAAAATGACGGAAGTGAGCAACGAGGTGATCCCGATTGATCACGGCTCGATTGGACACCACCAATCACAGCGACCGGTGCTTAGGAGCTTTGTAGTCTCAAGCGCTGTGAGTGGCTCGTGTCCAATTGAGCCGTGTCCAACTGGGTGCCACCCGTGAGCAACTCACCCAATTATATTTATTCTCACCTCGTGAAAATACGAAGTTACTCGCGTGAATAGGCTCGGCACGAAATTTATAAGTGAAATGAAAATAAGAGTGATGAGAAGAAAGAAGACTTTTTTGCGCACACAATGAATAATTTAATAATCAAAATATTAATGCGACGTCGAGAAAATGTAATGCTTAGAATATGAAGGAGACTAAGCGATGCCTCAGATCCATTTGGTATACCATAAAGTGAATTCCGCAGTCTTTACAGATAAATGTGATTTCGTATACTTTTAGAGGTTACATTTTCTAAAAAATTGAATTTACAATAAAAAGTAAAAATCGAATAAAGTGAGTATATTATAAACTTATTTATAATTTTTCAAAGATTGTCCCGGGAAGCTGTACGAGTGCTCATCGAAGATATATGACCTCTTCTACCAAATCTAAGACGATGTCACGTAGTTGCTGTTGAATTACAGGTATTGAAGTTAGAATAACATCATACAAAGTAATATAATGATTTAGTTTTTCTATTGAAAACTCATTATTTATTATAACAATAATTTTTTGTTACAGGTTCTAATTGCATTGAATTTTATATCGTCAGGTTTATATCAAAAGCGAGTTGGCCAAGTTTTTTTAACGTGTGTAAGTCAACCAACAGTAAGCAAGATTCTATGCAATATTATCCTGCATAAACAAAATTGATTTACTTATTATCTATTATTATATTATAAATAAAATATTATGACATTGCCAATAAGATCTCTAATTTTAATATAAACCGATAATGTATAATACTTACTAATATTTTTTTATTGCCACTGCTGTAACGTAAGCGGCCTCTTGCAAAATCTTCATTGTCTCTCATATAATTTAATAAAATTATTTTCTGCTTTTTTATGTTCATTTTGTACTACTTTTGTTATAACTATTAATACCTAATAATGTAATAATAGACAATAAGCATAAACGAGATTTTTCATTGATTGATCAATCGTATTATGTATAAATGCAGCTTTTTACAAAAGAATTATTTTTTAGCATAATGCTATTGATCAAACGATAAATTAAAAAATTTGACTTATAATTATTTCTAGCACCTTTAATCTCACTTTGTGTACAAACCTGTGACTATCGATTTCAAAATGTGAGAACTATATCGGAAATACCTAGTTATTTCACATTTTTACTTAAAAGTTCCGTAATTAGATGGCTAAAGTCACGTGAAATGAAAATGCGAAAAGTGAATAAATTCACGGAGAAACCGTAATAGGCTCCCTGTGTCTTAAAACGAGGTGAAAATTACAAAAGTGAGCAAATTTACTAGGTGTTGACCAATGAAATTATCAGTATTCTATTAAATTCGCTCACTTTTGTAATTTTCACTTCGCTTCAAGATACAGAATAGATCCTTAGGTGTATTTATCGCGTATCGCGTAACCGCGTAACCAATCTCTCTCTCTGATTGGTTCGTGACTTTTAAGACATTACTTAATAATAATAATAATAATAGCTCGGGAGGCAGCCTCCTGTTGGGGCCCTCCAACGACACGCAGACTAGGTCCATTGTGTCTTCCCAGCTGTACTAACCCCACGTCAGCTCAGACCAATCTTCCTCCAGAAGCGAAGGAGATCTCTGACCTGGAGTTGACATACCTGCTCGGGTTCGAGAAATATCGAGCCCAACAGAAGCCGCCTATGTCCAGCATACGCTGGACATTCACATAGCACGTGGAGAGTAGTCTCTTCTTCGTGTTCGCACTTCCTGCACTTCGGGTTATCACTAAGCCCTAGCTTGTGTATATGGTAGTTGGTGAAGCCATGGCCCGTGTAGATCTGCACCGTCAGCCTGGCCTCCTCTCTTCTTAAGGCTCTAATATTCCTAGCAACGTTCCTACTGGGCACCTCTCCCAGTAAGGCCCTTGCCTGTCGGCACTTGGTCCTTGTTTCTTCCTTCCAGTAGTCCATGTGGCGGTCCCGCAGCCAGTCCCTTATTTTTGCCCTACCGCTACAGCTGGGCAGTCCAAGGGCCGGTCCCACCAAACTGGCTGATGAGCCGCTTCTTGATAGCTAATCAGCAATCTCGTTGCCTTTGATTCCCGAGTGCCCCGGGACCCACACAAGAGCGACGTCATTGCTCGCGGAAAGCTTGTTCAATGCACCCTTGCACTCCCAGACCAGCCACGAGTCAAAGACGCACGCCCCCAGCGCCCCCAGGGCCGCTCTGCTATCCGAGCAGATCCTAATGCGCCTGCCCGTCTCCCCTGATGCAATCAGTGTTTGACCGTAGCTCATGATTGCCACCACCTCCGCTTGGAATACCGTGGTGAATTCTCCGAGGGGGAGAGCTTCTCTGAATCTACCACGGCTTCCAAAGATCCCGGCACCGGCGCCTCCGTCAGTCTTGGAGCCATCCGTGTAGCAGACGTCCCCATTCCTAACAGCAGGCACCTTGTGCCTCTCCCACTTCTCACGACTAGGGAGATAGATCTTGAAAGATCTATCGAAGTCGCGCCTTTTTGGCATCCTGTCTTGCCTCATTTCCAACACGATTTTCATCTGGATCTCCCATGGTAGCCGGGTGTGACCCACCCCGATCGTTCATTTGCCCTCGCACTTCAACCTATACGCAGTGGCCGCCACTGCCGCCACTATCACAAGATGGAGTGGTTCGATGCCAAGCAGCACTCCCATTGCTGCCACCGGCGTTGTCCTCATTGCTCCCAGAGCCCCTCTTAAAATAAGAGCCCTGACGCGTTCCAGCGATGCTCGAGTCTCCGTCAACTGTGTCCTTGGCCACCAGACCACAGCAGCATAGAGCAATCTTGGCCGAAGCACCGCTGAGTATAGCCAAAGCACCCTGTCCGGCTGAAGTCCCCAGGTTTGCCCAAAGATTCTTCTGCACAGCCAGAAATATGTGCAGGCCTTCTTACACACCGCCTCCAGGTGCAGCTTCCAATTCTGTCTTTTATCCAGGATAACTCTTAGATACTTGACTGACGTCTCGGGAATCAGTCTGACCCCTTCCAAAACGGGCCCCTTCACGGAGCCCACTTTGTACTTGTGGATGAAAATTACCAGACTTGTCTTATTATCCGTCCTTTTACACCATTCTTCCACCATCCCTAGAGCCCCCTATATGAGCTCAAGGAGCATTTCTAGGAAAGGACCTCCTATCAGGATCGCTAAATCATCAGCGTACCCGATTGTCTTGAAGCCCTTGCCATTAAGCTCTTTAAGCAGCCTATCCGTTACTAAGCACCACAGGAGTGGTGAGGGTACCCCCCCCCCCCTTGAGGACAGCCTCTCCCACACATCCTTCTACACTCACCGTACTCAGTGATGTCGTCACTTGACGTCCAAGCATTTCCCGGATCCACTTAACGAGTTTCACCGGTACGCCCCGCCTTGCTACCTCGGCACACACTACCTCATGTGGGGTGTTGTTGAAGGCCCCCTCAATATCTAGGAAGGTTCCTACCAAAAAGCCTCCTTGCTGGAGCTGCTTTTCAATTTTATAGACTACCAAGTGGAGAACCGATATGCTCGAGTGGCCAGCCCGGTAGGCGTGCTGCTCGGCATGCAACGGATACCGAGCCAGCACACAATCCCTGATGTATACATCGACCAGCTTTTCCAATGTCTTAAGACAGAACGAGGTCAAGCTGATTGGTCTGAAATCCTTTGCAGTGACATAGCTCGCCTCACCTTGGAGATAAGGACGACTTTCACCTTTCTCCACGCCTGGGGATGTACCCAAAGGCCAGACAGGCTCTCAGCACCCTTGTGAGGGGCCCAATCACTTGCTCCAGCTCTCTCTAAAGAAGAGCCGGAAACACAAGGTCGGGCTCCGCCGACTTGAATGGTCGGAAAGAGCCAATCGCCCATCTGACCTTGGTTGACCTCACAATTTCAGCCGCTAATTTCCAATCATTGGCACATGCCCTGAAGGGACCCGTGTCAACTTCTCAACACCTATCCACATCCTTCTGGAAGCCAGGAAAGTTGGTCTCCAGAAGGTGCACCAGACATCTCTCCGGATGCCATAGTGCCGTCCGACACTCGGACTGCTTCCAATGCTGCCTCCGGGTTCCTGGATAGGAATCTGCAAAGCCTGGCGGTGGCCGGTATTCCCTCCACCGACTCGCAGAAATCCATCCAGCTCTTCTTCTTAGCCTCCACCACAGAATCTCTGTATTCCTTCTGGGTTTTCCTGTAAAGATCCCAGTCGGAGGGCCAGTCCGTGTTCCTCGCTTTATTCCAGGCCCTTCGAGCCTTGACCCTGAGATTCTGCAGTCGTGGGTTCCATCAGGGAGTTCCCCTATTGTTGGTAACCGTCCTGGCCGGGCAATTCGCCTCATAGAAGCCAATCAGAGCCCTTTGTAAATACTCCACACAGAACTCCAGCTCCTCCGCCGTGCTATACCTCTTGGGAAAATCCCTGAGGTTTATTCCCAGGTCCCTCTAATAAGAGTCCTAGTCCGTCCTCTTTGGATTCCTCACCTTCTTGACCTCCACTTTGAGATCCGAAAGTCTAAAGGTTATTAGCCTGTGGTCGGAGAGCGAGGGCTCATTCGACATCTTCCATTCCCTCACCTTTCGCACGGATCCACGTGAGCAAAGAGTGAGGTCTAACACCTCACTTCTCCCTGCCGCGCAAAAGGTGAGTTTATTACCTCTGTTCAGAACTTCCAGGTCAGTAGTTACCAGGGGGTGGCACCCAGTTGGATACGGCTTAATTGGACACGAGCCACTCACAGCGCTTGAGACTACAAAGCTCCTAAGCACCGGTCGCTGTGATTGGTGGTGTCCAATCGAGCCGTGATCAATCGGGATCACCCCCTTTATGAATACCGGCCTATTGCTGAATTCACACTGGATCCGACGTGCGTTGTGTGATGTTCTGCAATCAATCAAAAAGCAGAATTTTATTTCGTATCGATAATGGGTGCTTCCCAATTGCAATATCCCTAGACACTTTCTTGCATATAGTGACACAAGTTGCGTTCCATCTGTCCGTTATCGTCGACACAATACAACTCAACCGTACTCAGTCGAAGGCTGTGTAAGCTTGTGTTTTCTAGTGATAATTACATGTTACTAACTGCGGCGGCTATAAATGAGGTTGGAAGACGTTGAGTGACCAGCACTTTTACTTTTTTTTTTTTGTTTAATACACGCGGAAAAAGCTACATTTAATCTAACTCCATCCGAAATGGATCTCAACCGTGCACAACGTACACATTTTGTTCCAATTGAATCGTGCACAACGTTACACTTTGTGTATTCCTGTATACCTTTGTGTTAAGATGTGTTAAGCAATTGGAAAGCACCCAATACGGACAATTCTAACGTAGGCAGCCAGTTTGATTTTGTCAAGATTGTCAAGATGCGCGCGCAGAGAAAGCCAGGTTGCCCCGATATTTTGCTTCTCACACCGTTCTGCCAAACCCAGCATATACTATAGAAAAGTATACGGATGCTGGGTCTATCTTATATGTCTATGGCCCGTTTCTACCACTTTTGCCTTAATCTCCAGTTTAGCCAAATTTTCGTTAAAACTAAACCTAGATTTGGCGCTGATTGGTTTCTACCACCGTTACAATGCAAACGTTTAGCTAAACTTATAACCTATGTGTTATAACTTAAAGAAATTACTAAATCTCAGTCGTTGATTGGTCCAATATTGGTTCTAACAGTGGGTGTTTTCCAACAACGTACACAGATGACACAGTGTAACACTGTGTCGTACACAAAGTGTTCCAACTATGACACAGTGTTACACTGCTCGACACTGTAAAAAGTTAAGTACGAGCGTGTAGAGTATGTCA